CTTTAATACCGTTCGTTGTGTCCATATATATTATATATGATATTTGAAAAATTACAAGAAATCTCTGCTATAGAAATAATCAATAGTGTGACCCATTAATCATGAGATATAAATTTATGTTGAACAATAACAATTTCCTAACCTCCACACACGTCGCCATTGGCAGGACATGGTTGCTATGGTCCGTTGTTCGTTGTTCCTTCAGTGAATACTGCCAGGCGTTTTGGGGTGGTTAGTGTGCCGTTGTGTGTTGGCCGCTAAAACAATCAGGAAGATAAATTCCAATTATTAAATTAAAAAGGATATTTTTCTCTTTGATTCCATATTCGGCCCTTTGCATAGTTAACCAACAATAGTAATACACCATGGAAAGGAACTGTAACAGTTGATTCTCTTTATTTACATCTTTGTGCATGTATAGTATGAATAGCAAAGACGATGATAAAAGCTACAAATAACAGTATCTTACATAAATATAATGTCAAATATCTCAAAGATATATCAAGCTCATTTTAAAAGACACTAGTAAATAAGTTACATCACCTTCAAAATAGCAAGAATTGAATGGTATAGCCAAACAAAATAAATACCCACGTGCATATTAATTACAAAGATTATGCTTGAACATAAAAAATAAATTTCCATAATATCCAAATATGTATGGCAGTAAACCTTTTAACGTTACAATAAATATGAATTTTAGGAAAAAAATTTAAAAAAAACACATAAACTTACATTTGTGACTTGGCTACCCCGACAAACTTATGGCGCTGACTCTGGACGGACTGTGAATCTTCAAGGTATCACACAGATAATTGACCAATCAAAATGAACTTGCTTTTCCTTTTTTTGAGATGTTTTTTTTTCTATTTTCTTCCAAGCCATTTTACAAAGTGGTTACCTGTGTCTAGTAAATGTTATGTACTCTGTGATGAATAAAGGTTTTTGACAGGAACTATTTTTATCAGGGCATAGGAGGCTACTTCGTGTGGTGCACTCGAGATGTTTATAAACACATTGAAAACACGTGGATTTGAGGGTTGCCCTGTTTGAAAAGTCAAAAATGCCGAGTAGGTACCCTGTTTTTGGTGTCAGCTAATATGACAGGTAATGTCTAACACCTCCTACTAAATATTTTTTCATGTAAACAAATACCTGATTTTTTACGATTTTTTATTCTATATAGAATTGCATGTTTATAGTGAAAACAATAACCGGTATGATACCCAGTCAAAGCCGATAATTTTATATACTAGTTACAAAAAAAAAATGGAATACCAAACCCAATCAGATTAAACATAATTATTGCAAAACAACACATGCCACAATAAAGAATATCTAAGTATTTTTAAAGTTATAGAAGGATATTGAGATAACGAACAGTATTTAATCTCAAAGCCCATAAACAATAAAAAAAAAATAGGAGCAGAGCAAACACGGACCTCCGAATCATCAGAGGTGGGATCAGGTGTCATGGAGGGCTGAGCATCCTCTGCTGACCGGTCATACCCGCCGAGTGCTCCATGTCATGATCAGTAAATAACGGGAAAATCCGTCTTCAATTCAGTGTATAAATAATGGACTAACAATTGGTATGAAAAACGTCAGTCAGCATTTGACTCAATAATAAATTGTATTTTCTGACAAGGTCTTTGTATCGACCATAGAACTCACGAAATGATGACTTTAAACGAGACTGCTGATATTTTTGTTTCATCAACTTGCTTGTCAATAATTTACCTCGTTTTAGAAATTGTTCATACGTAGAGCATGCGGTCTCAAAAAATCACATAGATATTGTCAATCAGAAACTCAAGCATCTCTTTGATGTCAACTTCAGAGTACTTTGTGTGCAGTCAGAATGTGTTAAAATAATTTTGCAAGTGACCAATGACAAGGTAAGTAAATTTATGAGTTCCATTTTTATAGAAAAGCAGCTGTCAATGATATCAAAAAGAATGATTGTCTGGGTGTTTATTTGTTATTTTAATTTCCCTTTTGATAATTCTTCAGTCGTTACGAGATGCAACCACTCGACTGTTGAGATCTGCAAAATTTGACCTAAACTCGGCACTCAGGACCATTGAGCAGTGAGGAATCTTTTTCATGCCAGTACCTACTGCGACACAAAATCTCGATTGATACGGTCGCATTCGAATGACCAGTGTTCACGTATCACTGTGGATTTCGAACCCACGGCGTAAGGAACAACTCCTTAAGTCGTAACTCTAGACTACACACTTTTACAATGTCTATCAAATTTTAAAACTCATTTTACGATTTTTTTCAAGCATGTTTTGTTTAATACTCTTGCATTATAATCAAAAGTTTTGACTTTACATAGATGATACACTTTCAAAGTTTTTTTTTCTTTTTTCAGATACAACAGGAAATTGGACAGTCTCTAAGAATTGCTGTTAATTCTTGAAAAGATTTTGCACATTATTTAATATTTTATGAATATATCTGCAGTCTCAATAAAAAAGAAGGCAACAAAAATTAATTATTACTACAACGAATAGTATTCAAACTCAAACTATATTCAAACAATACAAACCGGAAACAGAGGAAATACAGACTCCAAAAACAAAACAGAAGGGGTGAAGAAAAAATCTTTGTTTTGCAAATAATGAACTAACATTAGTATGTAAAACGACAGTGAGTACTTGACATGACGATAGGCTATGTTTGCCGACACGGTCATTGCATTGACCATAAAACTTACATCTTAAAAACTTCCAACTTTTCAACTTATACACAACCATTCTCCACGACAAATTAAAGTCCAAATTTTTTTATATCATCGACAGCTGCTTTTTCAATAAAAATGGAACTCGTAAATTTACTGGTCGTTGGTCATTTGCAAAATTATTTTGTTTAAACACATTCTGATAGTACACACAAGTACTCTGAAGTTAACATAAAAAAAAGATGCTTGAGTTTCTGATTGAAAATATCTATGTGGTTTTTGGAGACCTGGTATTCCAACTATCTATCGGTATTCTTATGGGTACCAGTTGCGCTCCATTATTAGCAGACCTAAATCTATATTCATATGAAGCAGAATTTGTGAAAAATCTTATGCGTAAAAAGAAGAAAACACTTGCCATGGCCTTCAACTCGACATTTAGATATATCTACGCCGTATTGTCAATTAACAATGGTAATCCCCATTCCAACGTCGATACGATATATCCTGGTGAGCTTGAGATAAAAGATGCCGCAGAGTCTGCCAAATCTGTTTCATACTTGGATATTTTACTTGAATATGTATCTTTCTTGTAAAAAACCTTAATAGTAATCTAACAACCAAGCTATATGATAAACGTGATGACTTTAACTTTTCTATCGTCAACTTCCCTTACTTATGCAATATTTATACCTTCATCAACTGCACACGGAGTATGTATATCTCGATACGCAAGAGCATGCTCTACGTATGAACAATTTCTAAGACGAGGTAAATAATTGACAAGCAAGTTGATGAAACAAGAATATCAGCAGTCTCGTTTAAAGTCATCATTTCGTGAGTTCTATGGTCGATACAATGACGTTGTCGGGAAATGCAATTTATCATTGAGACAAATGCTGACTAACGTTTTTCATGCTAATTGTTAGTCCATTATTTATACACTGAATTGACGACGGATTTTCCCGTGATTTCCCGATCATGACAATGGGCACACGGCGGGTGTGACCGGTCAGCAGGGGATACTCACTCCTCCATGGCACCTGATCCCAACTCGGAGGCCCTTGTTTGCTCTGCTCTTATTTTGTATTGTTTTCTGGACTTTGATATTGAATACTGTTCGCTACCTGCATATCCTTCTTATTCGTTCTTTATAAAATGTTGACTAATTTTCCTGAATTTATCTGTTCTCGTTATAGAGTTTAAGTAACTGTCTCAATAATTTCCAAACAACTCTCGTATGAAAAACATAAGACAATATGTATCATTATGGTATTTTGTGTTTTCCAAATTAATAATAAAAAATACTTGAAAATACGGTGAAATATATGGAGATATATTTATATTTCAATTCATTTTTACATAGTTAAAAATAGCTGCAGTGGAGTAGGTCACGTGGTCGGGACGTGTGGATAGAATCTGAATCAATTACAGTTTATCGTAAGGGTTAAATGGGATTATGAAATTTGAGAGTCATTAATGATATAACGAATAGGCATATTTGCAAAACAGCTGACATCTGGCACTGAAAAAGAGTATAAAAAGATGTCTTCCTTAGGTTCTACATAGTGTTGTCAGAAGCTACACCTCTTCCAGAGACAGCTCGAACATTTAGTGGTATGTATTATGAAACGTTCAAAACAAATGTCTTGCAATTAAACTAGCCTGCTCAACAGAATTCCTCGTATTTCAGAAAAAATCAAAACAATACTTACAATAAAATGACTCCAAGTAACCTTTCATTAAGTTTTATTATTTTTAAGTTATTTATTTTTGGTGTTTGGGATTAAAAGTTCGTTTGGTTTTGAGCTGCAATGCTAATCATTAAAATGTAATTCTTCGATAAATTTTTGAAAAACTTCAATATATTTTTAGCACGAGATACCTTAACCTAATCGAAATATTTTCACCAACAGATTCAAATCTCAACCTTTAGGATGAAGTCAGTCCATTTCATTGTGTTGTGTGCGTGCTTGATTGGTATGTACAGTATAATAATTTTTTTCATAACACAGTATCAATAGCAAAGGAATTTAGTTTCCCTATTTTTGTAAATGTCAATAAACATAAACTAAAAGGCTTTACACGGACACATTTTGAGCTAAATATACATTTAGAAAGTTTTGAAAGGTAAATCAAAAATAATCTTAAAGCGCATTATAATAACTACAATATTTTTCAGGAGTTAAGTGCTGCATTTCATGGACCTCTTGAATTTAACTAAATTCAAATATTTAGAGAAAATTGAGTTTTTTAAAGATTTCAAAGGAATGTGAATGGACGGCATTGTGTTCTTTTGAATATTTTCTAGCCTCTACACAAGTTGTCATGGCAGGACATGGTTGCAATGGTCCGTTGAGTAGAAACGAGAGAAAGTGTTATAATTATTGCAGGGAAGAACTAAGCTGCAGAGGTGGATACTGCCCAGTTACGAGGATGTATCTTGTTTGCTGGTGTGTTGGTTGCAAAAAGTAACTGGAAAGGTACAATACTAATAATTTAGAAGAAAAGACTGGTCTTTCTCCTTGATGTCTTAACATGTGATTATCATAGCTGCAAACTGAAATTAGAATCCAAATTTACAATGAAAGTTAATAGCGTCAATAAAGTCAACTGAATTAAGGTGTAAAATCCCGCTGATAATTTCAAAGGATATTATTCCAAGCAATCCAATTCATTATTTTACCCGAGTTTGATAAGGAGGACCATTATATAGTCCATTCATTCAATTTTGAAATATGTTAGAAATATTGATATCTTAAACTGTTACAGAAATTTCAGATGCAAATTTTTGAAAGCAATCAATTCACATTTGTTCTTTTTTTGAAAAACGATTACTCCAGTAGATTGCTGCATTTTTATTTTAAAAGTAAAGAAAAAATGTTCTGATCGAAAAAAAAAAAACAACGGTTAATAATGTTTTATAATATGAATTAAACAGGTATATTTAGGTAGATGGTATTTTTTTTTTTTTACAAAACTCATATCTTTAATTTAATGGTGAGATATGAAATTAATTATCTTTCTATTTATCGTATCAATTTTTCTTCATATCATATTAGACATTTTATGAATTTCTGAAAAAAAGGAAACAATACATCATACGTTAAACTATTTGAATTAATCTTACTTTTATTGATGAAAATCAGTGTTGGGAACTTAATAAATGTTGAAATTAATAGCAGAGGAATATTTCACCTTAAAGAGATCATTTTAAGATAATTTAAATATTACTTCTTTTTCCGACATTTTTGGATAATAACAATAATTATAATATCAATGGCAAAGACTATCAATTGTGTCATGTTACATAAATAATGCAATGTTTTCTTTTTCAGAGGAACAGGGTTAAGGAAACAAAACATCTGTTGCAATGTTTTTCCTAATTCATTAAATAATAGTTTCTCAGATTGGATAAAAAGTGTCAAATTTATTTGAAATATCACATTAAATGGTTGAAGGGCTTGATGAAAACCATATATCCTTCTGGCATCAATAATTTGAAAAAATAAAATTAAAAACAAGAATGATCGAACTTAAAAATCCATTAACAATACAAATATGTAATGAGGGCATAATACTAATATACAAAGCCCTGGATATTCCAAAGGTGAAAACAAATGCCGAGCTGGAGTAAGAGTCCAGTTTTGACAGGTAACATCAGTCGTGAGTCTTATGTATAGATCACTTTCAGGGAACATTCGTTAGTCGATTTCAATATAAAACATAAAGCCAATATACGATCCTTTGATAGGTTTCAGTTTCTAACAAGGCAGTTATAACAATGAAATTACGAAATGTTGACTTTAAATGGGATTTTGAAATCTCCGTTAAATCAACCTATTTGTCAGTAGCCTCCCTTGGTCTATAAATTGATTATACCCGGAGCATCTTCGTCATTATGCATTAAGTATTGAGTCATATCGCTTTCATACAATTTAGTTGTTGTTGACTTTTTTTCGTCTTCATATAGTTAGTGAAATATCTAAACATTATACAATTGTTGCAGGTTCTGTTGTGTCTTTTATTTTAAGTTTACTGGTATATATACATCAGTCTATAGGGCTTTTAGGTAGATCCGTACTTTCAAAAATTTCTTTCAAATTGATAATTTTTTTTTATTTGAATACCATGAATAAGTCATTAACTAACTAAAACACCCATGAAATGCATATCTTTGCAGGTTCATTTTCATACAAGTTGTCTCAGATTACATAACTCTAAAAATTCTACAGTCAAATTGAACATAAAGACGTGTGATATCGTATTTTATGTAGCTATGCACCAAATCCTATAATATTTATCTTCAAACTTAAAAAAATCAAAAATATTTATTTGCCAAGAGAATATTTGAATTTTTTATTGGAAACATTAACAAATTATTGTTGAATCTGTCTACGTCTTCCAGAAAAAAGTATAGAAATATTGTTGTTTCTAATAATCCTCAAAATCTTAACTGCATATAAGCCATTTTTCTTTCAAATTTGGAATTATATACAAGGTTAAAAAAAACACATACGTTTTTGTGGTTAACCAGATATAATTCACACACAAGCCTTTTGAACACATATACCCCCCATTTTTATGTCAATATTTTCAATCATTCTATGCAAAATTCAAATTAAAGTAAAATTTAAAAGTTATTATAGGATTAAAATCAATACAAATAGATTTCAAGTTATTTTGTTTAATAAAGATTAAACAGTTTTAGGTCCATAAAGGAAATTAAGAATTTTGTATATGTTTCTGTGTATGTACTAGATGAAATATAGATCCCATGGACAGAGCGCAGCGTGAATGTCCATAAATAATGCTTTGAATTCACAACGGCACTATGATTAAAAAATATATACTTGTTAAATTGTTTTCAATCATCCAAAAAGATTTTATTTCTATAGACAAGTGATAGTCAGAATTTCATATTGATGTGTAAAATTAAAACCAGATCCGTAAAAGTACGGACCTTACTTAAACCAAGTGTGCTTCATATGAATACTGATATACTAGTAGGTCTGCCAAACCGGGGCGAAATTGGTATCCTTTGAGAATTCCAATAGATTCTTGGAAAACCTAGTCATCAAAACAAGACAGATATTATCAATCAGAAATTCTAGCATCATTTTATGTCAACTTCAGATCAATTTTGTGTGCCATCAGGATGTTTTTAGCAAAGGAATTTTGCAAATGACCAATGTCAAGGTAGTAAACTAACGAGTTCCATTTTTGTTGAATAAAAAAAAACCAGCAGTCAATTATATCAAAAAGCCTGGAATTTAATTTTATAGTTGGGAATGGTTGCATGAAAAATATTGAGATAACGAACTACATCCAAGATCTAAATCTAACCAGGTATATAATGTTGGAAAATTGAAAAGTGTATGTTTCTGATGTTAATAAAAAATTTGCTATTTTTAAATTTTTCAAAAGTTTCTTTCAAGTTTTAATTGGGGTTTCAGAGGATCTGATTTAAATAAAATTATTAAAAATTATAAAATTTTTGAATGAACCATATGGAAATAACGAAAAGTATTCAAGATCAAAAATCCATAAAGCAATTCAAAAGCGGAGCATAACAAACACGGACATCCAAAACATAAGAGGTGGGATCAGGTACGACAGAGGAGTGAGCATCTCCTGCCAACCGGTTACACCTGCCGTGTGCTGCTTGTCATGATCGGGAAATCACGAAAAAATCCGTCGTCAATTCAGTGTATAAATGATGGACTAACAATTAGTATGAAAAGCGTCAGTCAGCATTCGACTCAATGAAAAATTGTATTTGCCGACAAAATCATTGTATCGACCATAGAACTTACGAAATGATGATTTTAAACGAGACTCCTGATATTCATGTTTCATAAACTTTTTTGTAATTAATTTATCTCGTTTTAGAAATTGTTCATACATAGAGTATGAATAAACTGAGATACATAAACTCCGTATGCAGGTGATGGAGGTATATTGCTGCATAAGTAAGGGAAGTTGACGATAGAAAAGTTAAAGTCATCACATTTATCATAGAGCTTGGTTGTTAGATTCCCGTTAACGTCTTTTAAATTATCCCAGTATGAAACAGATGTGTCAGTCTCTGTGGTACCTTTATCTCAAGCTCACCAAGATATATAGAATCGACAAAAGCATAGAAATTACCATTGTTAATTGACAATACGCCGTCGATATTTCTAAATGTGGAGTTGAAGGCCACACGGAAAATATAATAATAAATACGGTAATTCTAATTCATTTGTTTATTGGGAATATTATAAATATTTACAACTAATATATATGATTTAAAAGAATTTTGCCATAAGAAAGGGGCCTATGGGTATAAGTTGAATTGCCACTTCATTCGGTGCCCCTCAGATAATATAACATATCCTCTGGGATATTAAACATATGTCATATGTACATTCTTCAGATTCCCAATTTTCGTATAAACCAATAGCTCATACAAATAATTGAAAGAATGTAGTTTCTATTGCGGATATAGTTGAAGATTCCATTTCCGATCAAATGTGTTCTGTTTCAAAAAGATGTAAAACTGTAAATCCTGTGATATTTGATAACAAACACTTCTTTCACTGTTAATCTTATTTCAACTTTATACACAATCATTCCCCACGATGAATTAAAGTCAGGGCTTGTTGATATCATTGACAGCTGCTTTTTCAATAAGAATGGAACTCGTAAATTTACTTACCTGGTCATTGGTCATTTGCAAAATTATTTTGTTAAGTCACATTCTGATTGCACTCACAAAGTACTCTGAAGTTAACATCAAAGAGATACTTGAGTTTCTGATTGACAATATCTATGTGGTTTCTGGAGACCAGGTCTTCCAACAATCTATTGGAATTGCGCTCCGTTATGAGCAGACCTATTTTTATATTCATATGAAGCAGAAGTTGAGACAAAATCTAATGCGTGAAAAGAAAACACTTGCTATTGCCTTTAACTCGACATTTAGATATATCGACGACGTGTTGTCAATAAACAATGGTCATTTCCATTCCTACCTCGATACAATATATCCTTTGTGAGCTTGAGATAATAGATATCCCATAGTCTGATACATCTGTTTCATACTTGGATATTTTACTTGAAAAAGACGTATATGGTAATATAACAACAAAGCTATGATAAACGTGATGACTTTAACTTTTCTATCGTCACCTTCCCTTACTTATGCAGCAATATACCTTCATCACCTGCATACGGAGTGTATATATCTCAGCTATTTCGATACACAAGAGCATGATCTACGTATGAACAATTTGTAAAACGAGGAAAATTAACTTTTCTTTTGTCAACTTCTCTTACTTATGCCGTAATATACCTTCGTC